AAAACTGGCAGAGATAGGTCCATAGTTACTATTGAACTTGAATAGGAAGTCATATACTGGCAATCTAAGTGTGACCTTGAAATTGACCTTTGACCTACTTATTATCATGAACTGAACTCTGCTAATTTCTTTCTCTTTTAACTCCAAACCTGGCAGAGATAGGCCCATAGTTACTATTGAAGTTGAATAGGAAGTCATATACTGGCAATTTACTGTGACCTTGGAATTGACCTTTGACCTACCTTACGATGAACTTAACTTTGATCGTACCATTTTTAGTAATATATATATCTTTTGCATATTTTGAAAATTCTTGTTGATTGCATTTTTACAGCTTGTCAAGCACAAGACTGGTGGCTGTGTTCCTTATTTTGTATATGTGGGGGTCTATACGAATGCGTTTGCTCCAGCTGGTGGTACAATATTCGGAGGCGGTATCGCCTCTCTGATATTCTAGTTGGACTATCTTTTGATCATACAGTAAAGAAATCAAATGCACATACATCTACAGATATAGTTGCCAAATTTACATTCTTACAATGGCTGTTAGTGGCCATCTTCCTCTGTTTATATCTGCAGTTTGTATAACGTTCAAAATAGCCTGCAGTGATTACATATTGTTTCAGAATATATGTACCTCAAGTAAATTACAAGTTGCTTTTTTGGGAAGGATATCTTGTTATGATATCCGTGGCACCCAAGTATTAGAAAATACATTGTGTGTGCTAGACTTACAAAACACAGCTTCATAATTTTCGTGGGTTTTGTGGACTCAAAGCTTGACATCACATTTGTATGCTATTATTTCAGAAGACCGTCCAAGTTATGCACAGATTGCAGAGTGGAGAAAGATTCTTGCTCGGCTGTCAGAGTTCCTGAAAAGTGTTGACTATCTGTTACTGGAGTTGCTAAGAAGACTTGTCAAAACTGCCGTGAAAGAACTCCTCAACTTCCTGATAGCTTCTTTTAATGTAGGAGTGGAGGTATGAACTGACATAAAACTTATGGAAAACAAGCATCTTTGGTTTTTTTATTTAAACCACGATTACCATCCCATTACTATTTGTTATTTCAAACAGATATTCATTGAGGAAAAACATTTGGTATATCTGTATTATATTATTAAATTGTGTTAATGAAACCTCATTTCTGTGTGTTATTCTAAACACATATTCGTTACAGGAGGAAGATGAAGAAGATGATGATGATGAAGATGAAGACAATTCCTCCACAGAAGGCTCTCCCCTGCCTCCAAGGAAAACTGGGGGAGGTTTCAGGTAAGGTGAAAGCTCGAAAAATGGTGGTCTTCTTTTAAAGTTGTTCTGATCCCAACAAATTAGAATGGAGTAATTCATTAATGTTCACACATTACACACTTACTATGGCTTACAGAGACGCAGATTAATATAGTAACATGTATTTATTTATTTATTTATTTATTTATTTATTTATTTATTTATTTATTTATTTATTCTCTCACTAAACACTTGTCAAATTGTCAAACTTCCTCCAAAATTTGTTCTGCCCTTTCTGATATCCCCAAGTTAACAGAGTCTGCTTCCATTTAAAGGAGAGGGTTCAATTTGAGACAGGACACTCCAGATTCCCAAAGAACTGGCACCCCTGCCAGTATGAAACACAGAGGGAAGGAGCGTCAGGGGATAATGGAGACGACCTATGATATTCCCAAGTTTGACTTTGACAAGCAGCCAGAAGAAACCAAAACACTGAATGCTGATGATGTAAGCTGTTGAAAAGGGGAAATATGTGCAATTTATTTACTTATATGTATTTTGAATCCAAGGTTTTTACTTATTACCAGGTTCAGTGTTTCAGAAAACTATTGATAGCATTGGAAAATTACTATTATTTTATTGCTTAAAATATCAATGATGGCAACATACAAAGAATCAAACCTCTACATCAATTAGTTACAATGGAAAAAGGTGCCTTAATTTGTATTTGCCATTATGATTGTAGTGTGTACAGATTTCACTGTATTTTTATGTAGCCTAGTGTATTTAGCATCAATTTATTATAAATAATTCATATCCAAGGTGATGGAGGAGATAAAGAAGAACCAGGAAGTAGACGAGGAAGTTCCAGACCCAGTGATATCGGTCCAGCTGGTACTTAATGTGCCAGACAACCTCCCCAAGTCCCAGCCTAAGTCCAGGGAAGGCAAGCGGAGTGGGAGAGATAACAGGCCCTTTACATCAGAAACTGGGAAGAAGATTGTTACCTTTCCTGATGAACCTGATTTCTCAGGTAAGACATAATATATATTTTAAACTGGGTCAGCATCAACTAAGTTGTTAGTTTAATATCATTTTGACATCTATGAAAAGTTATAATTTGTAACTTCTGCAATTCTTTGGGGTCGTTTTTTTTCTGAATTTATTTATTAGAAATCCATAGGTATATCTTCATGAAAATTTTAGCTTTTATATTTTGGCACTTAGTTCAAGGAAGCAGATTTTATATCTTGAGCTTAATTATTTTCTTATTAAAAGTCTTTTACTCTCTTTTACTATCACTCTTTGTTTTAATTTTCGACGTGTTAACCATCGGTGGACAGTGATTTAAGATACATTTTTGAGAAATAATTCAGAATTCATTGATGAAGGTACCATAACATTTATCATAAAAATAGACACACACGCACGCACGCACACACACACACGCACACACACACACACACACACACATAGCCTGAAAGAAATTGATATGTGTCACTTGAAGAAAACACTTTTTCATGCAGTACATATTGAATGATATTTCAGGGAGTGAGTCTGGCTATAGTGATGAGGAAGAAGAAGAGGCGGAGGAGGACTCGGAGTTTAACAGGTTCAAGTTTGCCTACCCCTTAGACGAGGAGGATGGATTAGGGTGAGCAGTAGATTCTAAGTAATTTACTATAATGTATTATAATATAATGTATAAATAAGATTTATTTAACTTTAACGATACTCCAAGGCTGGAGCAGAGGCAGCATTGGTAGACAACCAGACCAAAGAGAAAAAATAGAGAAATATAAGAGAAAATGAAATATATTGTATAATATGAAGATTTACATAAGTATTATTACTTTCAGTGCTGGTGCAGAGGCGGCATTGGTAGACAACCAGACCAAGGAAGTCCCTAAGAACAGAGCTCACTGCACCCTTTCTCCTAATGAGTATGAGATCAAGAGAGCCATGAGGGGGATTATTACTGGGTTTGAATACACAGTTGGTTAGTACACACATTTTTGTTACTATTAGTATCTTGACTTTTCCTACATGATTTGATTTTATTTCAGTTTCTATTGCCTAACTGTTATTTTTTAAATTATTTGGTTTACTTTCTTGTTTATTTGATAGCTTTAACTAGTGTTATGTGTACACTCTGTTTACAATTGTTAAAAATAAGCATTTGAAGACCAAAATTAGCCAAATATATTTAATATCAAGTTTCAGGGTTTTATCAGACAAGTGTGAATCAGTGTGTATGTGTGCATGCGTGTGTGTGTGTGTTTCCATGCATGTGTAGGCCATTTGCATAATGTGTGTGTGCGTGTGTGTGTGTGTGTATGTGTGTGTATGTGTGTGTGTGTGTCTTTATGCATGTGTATGTGTGTGTGTGTCTTTATGCATGTGTGTGTGTGTGTGTGTCCATACATGTGTAGGTCAAAATGTGTGTGTGTGTGCATGTGTGTTTGTGTCCATGAATTGTGGTTTTAAACATAAATGATAATTAAATATTTACCGACTAAATCCTGTTCCAGCTCAAGTTGGCTCCATGCTGCGGGAACCCAGACTGGCCGTGTTCTACTCTCCTCCTAAACACGATCTGAAACTGAACTATGATGAGGAGAGGGAAGAAGAGGACAGAGAGAAACAGAAACCCTGGCCAGACACTGCCTTCATATTTGGTGAGGACCCAGAGTATATGGGGCTGATAGACGAACTCATGAATTATGTAACACAGGCGGCGGAGCAGGTGGCAGATTTCTCTGAGGTAATTATTGGTGAAAATGGTGTGTGACAAGTGGTCTTTTACTATTAAGTTCAATATTTCCGTCGTTGGTATTGTTTTGTATAGATAATGATAGAGTAGAATTTTTATTGGATATTTCTACTGAGTGCATTTTGTCCACATATTGCCTCAATAAGGTATGGGTATTTTTTTGTTAAACCTAGTAGTCAATTTATGGGAAATTCTTCAGAAGAGTTATAAGATATTCTGCATGAACTCATGCCTCTGCTCTTCTGCTTTTATAAATTATCTCTGTATTGTAAGACAGCAGATCAGACAAGAAGTTCGAAGAGCCTGGATTATATTTTATACTTATCAGACTGTTAAAAATTTTTTTAGCCTGCTGACCTGAATCTGTTGGTCTAAATCAGAAACAGTGGCTCGTAAATGAGTGTATACAAAGGCTCATCTTCAGTAGTTTTAGTGGTATTTGCCCTGGGGTCAGTGTTAATGGCACGCCCTGTACTTATTTAATGTTTATATTTCCCCTTCCCTGTCCACAGAACTATGACAAGTACTGCCTGATGGTGGAGCAGGCCAGAAGGATGGATGTGGAGGGGTCCATGGCCAAGAAACAGTGGTCAACAGATGAATTCCAACATGTTCTCTCCATACATACTGACCAGGTGAGCTTACCATACTAATGAGTGATAACGAGGCTTAGATCAATTAACAATTTGCTCCCTCTGTAAATTATCCTTAACTTTAACCTTGCAAATAATTCTGCATGGGAATATCAACATTTGTCTGAGGACCAATCTGTTCTCCTGCACATTGACTAGAACTCGTTGGAGAAAAAATAAGATCAAAAACATCATGTTAGTTAATTACTTGGTCTCAGTTTGAAGGTAGATGAATAAAGTCATTTTGTAAATAGCATTCAGTAATACTCAATAATATGATTATTTAATGAGCAGGTTAGTTTGGTGGTGGAGAACTGCAGACTGTGATGATATTATTTCTTATTTCAAACCAGGTACGTGAGATGAAGAACATGGTCCTCAGTAAGAGACTGGGCATGATCCTGCTGATGGCAGAGAAGTTTAGCGAGGCTTGTATGCCCTATCCCACCAATGTCCTGAATATAATCCACAAGAAACTGCCTGTGGTGGCCAACAAGAGGAATGAGGACCTTATTAATATTATCAAGGTAAGTCATATTAGTTTTATTTTGTTAAGTCCCCAGTTTTAAAGATTGCAGTAACACAATCATTTTCATCAGTTTCAATATAATTATAGGTACTATATATGATTATGACTTGTGCAAACTGAGAAATTATGGTAAAAACTTAAAAATTAAATTGGTCTTGAAATTTTTACGGAAAACGATTCTCCGCAGACGTAATTTTTTTTAACTTTGAAAATTTTGTCAAACTTGGTAATGGGCCTGTTAATAATTTTGTCACCTAATATGGTCATATCGGATTCACACATTTTAAAATATTGTTTAATTAATAAGTGACGAAATTTTCAATATTTTACCATAAGCTATAACCAAAATTTCACATCCCCCTCTTTATCTCTAGGGAGCCCTGAAGAAACTGGACCACTTCCCATCCTCAGTGGAGGAGTTTGTGGAGCACCTGTCATTCCTGGGTCGCATGTCCTCAGAGTTACCTGTCCTGGACAAAGAGTTTGCCATTGTCACCAAGATGTTCTCTATAGCCAAGGACTTTGACGTGGCTATCCCAGCTGAGGAGTTTGCGTTGTATCAGACCCTGGCTCCGAGCTTTCAGCATCTGAAGGTGAGTACAGCATGGGATGGGCACTACTTCTACTTCTCCATTTAGTTTCAGGGGCGGATCCAGAGATATTTTCTGACAGTCTTCTGAATGATCTTTGTTGATCCATTCTCCATTTTTGACCGTCTTCTGACAGAATAAAAATTAGATACTCATCAATGTAAACTTGAAAATCTGACCGTCATCTGGGAGACCCAGAAGACGGCCTCAATCCGCCCCTGAGATTTACCATAGAAGTGAAATCAGTAGATACTAAGAAATATAATGATTTTATTATATGTGTCATAGTGAAAAAATGATGTATTAAATCTAAAGCAAATATGACTAAATAGTTGTATATCAGTTTAAATGATGCCTTTAATAGCCTCAGTTTAACCATAGAATGATCACAGTGATGATATTTTTATTAAGTACTACTGAAGACTAAACATAGATGTATAGATGGTTGATGTCTTCCTTCAGTTTTTCAATAATCCAGTATTTCCAAAACTTCCATTTTGTTTTCCAGTCCACTGTCCTATTCTGTGAAGCCAAGAAGGAAGAAAACATCCGCAAGTTCAGCACAGACTTGGACAGCCTGGTTAACGACATACGCTTCACCATCATGGAGATCAAGAACAAGGTGCGAGATCCGGCGCTCCTCCACGCAGACACCATCCCCCTGGCAGCCCTGGAGAACATTAAGTACCTCCAGGACCAGGTGCAGACACTGGCCTCCAAGGCACGCAGCTACGGCAGCTACCAGGATAGATTTGGAAGTTCTCTGTCACAGTCCAAGAAGTTTTCTGAGTAAGTGTGTTTTATTTTGAAAAAAAAAGTATTTATTAGTTAAGCTATGTATGGCTAGTTTAGTTATATTCTGTAAAGATGATTTTTATTGCAACGTTTTATTTGTTAAAGAATGAAAATCTCAGAATTTGTGCCTTATTTCAGAGATATTCAGTTGTATTGTAAGAATTGGCCTGTTTAATTATCTCTGCTACAAGAAGGGCTGGTGTGATAAAAATAAAGATTAATATCACAATATCTTGTCCATTGCTTCAGAACACAAAGAGATTCTTTCTGTACCATCAAATGCTATATATTTTTTGTTAACACATAAAGGACAACTAAACAATAAGTTCCATATTTCTTTAATGTACATTAAGCTTGCCTTGTTCATAATATTAGATGAATATAATTTGTTTGCTATTTTAGGGAGTATCTTCTAATGGACAGAAGAGATGATGCTGCCAAGGCTCAGGCAGTGCAGCATGAACTGTCTGAGATAGAGCGTGACTTAACTCTGCGACGGCTGCTCTGGGAGTCCAGTGAGGAGCTGACCAGACTAATGGAGGAGTGGACGTCCACTCCCTTTGATAAACTGAATGTGGAGAGCCTGCAGAAACACACCAATAGGTTTACACAGACGGTGTTTATGCTAGAGAAAGGTACAGAAATGATGTAGTTTGTCTTTTTTATTTTTCATCAAAATAGAAAACAGGCCTGTAGCCAGATGGGGTTCAGGGGATTCAAAAGAACTTCCCTTTTTGCTGGGAAAGGGTCCTCTTTTGTTAAAATTTGATCTAGATACATGAAGATTTTATGGTAAAAGGTCCATGATTTGATATATTGAATACACTCACTTTACCTAAGTTTAATTTTCTAATATTTCAGGTCTTCCTCATAATGAGGTCTTGCCTAAGCTTAAGGAGCGTGTGTTAGACTTTAAGCAAGGTATGCCAGTCATCACGAGTCTCCGTAACCCTGCTCTCCGCGCGCGTCACTGGTCAGTCATCGAGGGCCTCATTGGGAAGACGATCATGAAAGAAAAGAACTTCACTCTGGGAAACCTTCTGGATATGAATGTATGATGGTTACATTTGTTGTTTTATCTAATGCTGATGATATTTTTTGAACTCTTTGGTAAAAAATGATAGATCTCTGTATTTGTGCTTTGATACTTTGTGACTATTTTGTGGAATATTTTTCATGTATCTTTTGTACAGTTGTTGTTCACCTTGTAGCATGTTTCAGTTCAAATCCTGATAAATTTCAGGTTTTTATGTTTTTTTGTTTGTTTAATGCAGAATATTTTTTCTTGTTTTGTAGATATTCAAGCACAAGGACAAGATTCAGGACATCTCGACCACGGCCAGTAATGAACACACCCTGGAGATTATGCTGAACAAGGTAATAAGCCATGGTGAATACAGGGGCAGATCCAGAGATATTTTTCTGACAGTCTTCCAAATTATCTTTGTTGATCCAGTCTCTATAAGTGACCATCTTCTGACAGAAAAAAAATAATAATAATAATTTATTTACTAAAATCGCAACCTAATAGGTTGAAGTTTTACAATGCGTCTTAAATAATAAAATCATAAGGTATTTTAAAATTAACTAAGAATTATAAACTAAACTAAAAGGACCAAAGACTTATAAGACAGTTTGAAGCAGTAATTTACATAAAATTTAAAAGACTGTGTATTATAAAAGATGATTTAAAACGCTCCGTTTTTACTTTTGGTATTAAAAATTTGTTGCTGACCCTGAGATTTCTTGGGTTCTTTTGTTTAAACAGATGGTGTAGCTTATTAAAATTCTTGATTTTTGTAAAAAAGTTCTTAAGTAAAACGACTCTTCTCTCCCTCAGAGAGGTGAGATTGCTAGCCTGTAGGGCATCCTTGTAAGTATAAAATGGGTAAATAATTCTAAGAGCTCTCCTTTGAACAGATTCTAAGCATTCACATTGTTCAGCTGTAAGACCAGGCCCCCACACAGGGCATGCATATTCTAGGACTGATCTAATTATTGATTGATATATAACTATTAGATCCTCAGTGGCCAGATTTGCCCTTTTCAACTGCCTTAGATAAAAAAGCTTGGCACAAGACTTTGAATAAATTAACTGCACATGTTCTGTCCACTTGAGATCAGGGGTCAGAGTTACTCCTAGTAGCTTAAATTTACTCACTTTTTCTACAATTTCTCCATCTACCAATAGTGTTGGAATGATATCTATACATTTGGTAAAGTTAAAATCCATACATTTTGTCTTCTTTACATTTAATTTCATATTGTTATTTCTAACCCAATTTTCAAGTTGCNTCTCTACACCTGACATACAGAGGTAAGATATTCTCTACACCTGACATACAGAGGTAAGATATTCTCTACACCTGACATACACAGGTAAGATATTCTCTGCTTTTAGATTGTAAAAAAAAATATGTATAAATACACTGGCTGCTATATTGCTGTATGTATAACTTTGAAAAGTATTCACATGTTCCTTAATATCTTCAAGTAGGTCTGATCAGGTATTTTCTTTAAGTACTTACACCTACCTGTATGTCATCTCTTGTCCTGTCTCTGTGCCTTCAAGTTCTCTTGAAATCAACTTCACCTAACAACCTGTTTTACCTTTCTTTTAAGCAATTTGGTGAGTAAAACCTTAGTCTTCTTCTTCCGTATTACATGTTGATTTTTCCTATGTCAAGGTGATACTGTTCACATAATTTGTACACTGGGCATTAGATACCAATAGAAGTTACTGCAGTTTGTTCAAATAGCTTGGCAATTTTTATTATTTGTTATTGTTTCTTTTATATTGCTCAACTTCACTAATTCCTTCTTGGCAGACATATGAAGCATGTGTTAAACAGTGCATTATGCTAAGATGTAGCTGTGCCGTAGTTGCATTTACCGTGTTCAGTTATTGTCACCATTTCACAAAACTGGCTTTTATATTTTACCATAAATCATTTAACTCAAATAAATTAAATAAATTTTGTTCTATTTGAAGTGGATGGAGGATCACCTAATGCAAAAAAAAAAAAAAAGTTAAAACAACAACAAAGAAACACACACACACACCTATGGCGACACAGTGTGTTGTAAGGAAATTAATGATATGTACCTCTATTCCAGACAATTACCTAATGAGGCCAAGTTATTCAGCCAGGTTGACAAGACATGGAAGGACATCATGAGGCGTACGGAGGACAGACCTAATGCACTGAAGGCTGCCACTGCCACAGGAACCTTGGAGGCGCTACAGTCTGCCAACGCCAACCTGGAGAAGATACACAAATGTTTGGAGGTAATTTTACTGATCAGACTCTAGAGACACCTGAAATTGTTCACATTTTAGTCATTTTGTCAAACCTGGTATTTTGGATGTAATGTGCATTGGCAGTAGTTGAAATCCATGTATTTGTATGGTTGCTATCTTGGATTTGCTTGTTCAGATGCAATGACAGCTGTAAAGTCTCTTTACTTTATCAGATGTAACATTGTAATCTTTTACTATATATAACAATATGACAAAGTTGAAAAAGAGAAACATTGCTTCTTTGTCCTTAGCAGGTAAATTTTTTGTGGAAGAAGCTGTTTTTGGTGATTTTGGTGACTAATTTTTTTCTTGTTAATTCAGGATTATTTGGAGACAAAGAGACTCGTGTTTCCAAGATTCTACTTCCTCAGTAACGATGATCTGTTGGACATATTGGCTCAGTCCAGGAACCCAGATGCTGTACAGGTCAGTGAGGGCAAATAGAAAAACAAGATCAATAAAAGGAAAGAGAAATGGAAGGAAGTAGAATTGCAAGGCAGAATTGATAGATGAATAAATGGGAAAATGGATGGATGTAAAATATGTTGTTTAATAGTAGATGATGTATTGATTATTAACTTTTATCATGTATAAATTTTTAGCCCAGTAAGAACTGTATTTAACTATGCCTCTTTTCAGCCCCACCTTGGGAAATGTTTTGGTAACATCAAAGCTCTGGAGATCAAGACGTTGCCACGGCAACCACCCACAGTGAAGTGTATGATTTCAGCAGAAGGAGAGATAGTGCAGATGCCAAAGTAATTGTAACTTTTTTCTTTTTTTTTTCACTGTGATTCTGATTGCATTTATTTATTACAGTAATGAAATGGATTTTCAGATTCAAATTTAATTTTATATCGTCCCACTACCTACTAGACGAATTGAATTTTTAAAGGTTTTGAAGTAGAATGTGAAAATTCTGAAAACTTTGATGCAACATTATATGATGAAATCTGAGAATGTCTGATGTTATTTACCAGGAACGTGAGGGCGCGTGGTCCCGTGGAAACATGGCTGGGAGGAGTGGAGATGGGCATGTTTGACACTGTCAAAAAGTGAGCATCTTTTATCCAGCTGCAATATTTTATTTGTAACTCTTTTAGGATAACATTTATATCATTTTTAGAAGAAAAATTTTGATATGATAAGAAGTGGGTTGTTTCTGTTGCATGTTATTTCCCCAGAGTGTTATACGGTTTCAAGACATTAAACTGAAGAAGATTTCAGATTCATGGTGGTAGTATGGTAAAATTTTTGATTAAAAGTTAAACTTCAGAGTCAAAAAATCAAAGTCAATAAATTGATTATTGTGAATTCTGATGTGGATCTTTTTTATGTGCTTATAAAATATGTTAAATATTGTGCCTTTCAGACACCTGAAGATGGGGCTGTCAGACTGGGTGGGGATCAAGCTACAGGACTGGGTGCTGAAACACCCGGGACAGGTGGTCCTCACAGTGGTACGGGAATCTTTACTCATTTTTGATCTTAGATTTTAATACTTGAGCACTATTTGTATATTAAACTCTTGGACAATGATAATGGTTAAAGTTTAGATTCATACTGTGATAAGCTTGATGTCATTTATATATTTTAAGAAAAAAATTATTAAAATATAAATGGTTTCATATTTTAGCTTTGTAGTACAGTACAGTATACTTATACATTCAGCTTACAAATCTGCCTTTGCAACAAATATAAAAACAGGATATTGATACTTCATACATACATGTTACTAGTGAAACTGCATGTAATAACAATTTGTATTAACCACATATCTCCTCCAGGCACAGATCATGTTCAACAAAGATGTCCTGAACTGTTTTGCCACCTACGAGCCGAGGAAGGCCATGATGTCTATACAGGACAATCTGGTGGAGACGCTGAACGTCCTGGCCGGACTGGTGTCCACCAATCTGGCGTCACATAAGAGACTCAGCATAGAGGCTCTGCTCATCATCACTGTACACAACAGAGACATCGTGGCGGACATGATTGATAATAAAGTCACCAAGAAAGACGACTTTGAGTGGATGAAGTGAGTGGTAGTGATGTATTGTTACTGTAACAGGTTTACTTATTGATGGCAGAAGAAAAGTGGATCAAATAATTGAGTATCTTTAGTGTTAAGAATGAATTGTATTCACTATAACATAACTTTAAAAGGGTGTACTTGTGTATGTTTGTTTGTTTGTTTTAAAATTCATTGCAAAGACTGGTAAAAAGAATTATGAAGATTTTTTTTTAAAAAATAATAGAACAAAACAATTTGTGAAGACAGATGTTATAGTGACCAACATGGGACCTAATTTTCTTGCACATATTACATAAAATGAAGCAATTTTTTTTCTTTTCAGACAACTGCGTTATCAGTGGGATGAACAGACTAATAACTGTCATGTCCTACAGTCTAACGCTTCCTTCATCTATGGCTACGAGTATCTGGGCTGTTCTCCCAGGTTGGTCATCACCCCTCTGACAGATAGGTGCTACCTCACACTGACAGGCGCGCTCCATCTGCACCTGGGAGGCTCCCCTGCTGGGCCAGCAGGAACAGGGAAGACGGAGACTGTTAAAGATTTGGCTAAGGTAGGTCGAGAACTGTATTTAAGCTATTTGCTTCAATAAAATTTTCAGCTGTAACATTTATGGATTTTATACAGGAAAAAGCTTCCTTTACCTCTGAAATCCATTAAAAGCCTTGAAAATCTCTTCTGAGAGAAGTTAATTTTATGAATTTAGTACTTATAATGCATAGTCAACTGTAGAAAAATGAAATTTTTAAACTTCAATATTTTTATCATCATCAGGCCATGGGCAAGCAGTGTGTAGTGTTCAACTGTTCAGAAGGCCTTGACTTCAAAATGCTGGGGAAGTTCTTCTCTGGCAGTTCTCAGTCTGGCAGCTGGTCGTGTTTTGATGAGTTTAACAGGATAGACGTAGAAGTGCTGTCAGTGGTTGCACAGCAACTGCTCACCATCAAGGCGGCCAAAGACACTGGGGCACCCAAGTAGGTTTGGTTAAATGGGTCGCAACCATATTTGATGTTTTTTAAATATTTCGATATCTTAATATAAAACCATATCTGCCTTAGAAATTTCTTTGAAGGCTATAATTTTGATGTTATTATTTTAATTCATAATTATGTATTTTTGTGATTTTTCCCTTCTTATATATAAGTTATGCCTCTATGTCCCCCACATATCAATATTTGTGTACTGAAGTTTGCACTCATATTGTAATTTGTTTTATTGCAGGTTTGTATTTGAAGGCAGAGACATAAAACTAAACATGACATGTGGAATCTTTATCACTATGAATCCTAGGTATGTGTGTACCTGAAGACTCTCTTCATATTTGCTATTTTAAATTTTTTTCATTGTTTTTGATTTGTAATTATGTGTCACATACGTATATAGTTTAGGTTGTGTCCTTTGGTTAATATTTATAGGACATGTGAGAATTTTATTAACTCTCACTCAGTCTATTTCACCCTTTATATGACAATTAAGATTGAAATCTTTGAACTTTATTTGATTAACAAGAGGTGCAGGCTCAACTTGAAAAAATGTTTGAATTTTCTCCCAATATTCCAATTTTATAATTTCCATTTTACATTTCTCTAGTTACGCAGGGCGAGTGGAGCTCCCAGACAACCTGAAGTACCTGTTCCGCTCTGTCGCCATGATGGTGCCAGACTACACCCAGATTGCGGAGATCATGTTGTTCTCAGAGGGGTTCACGGCTGCCAAGTCACTGTCAGGGAAGATTGTGAATCTGTATCAGCTGGCCAGCAAACAGCTCTCGCAGCAGGTACAGGACTGGTTGTAGAGACTAACTTTAATGTCTAAAGTTTTTTCTTTTTTTTGCTGTAAAGAGACTAACTTTCATATCTAAATTATTTTTGTTGATGTTGTTTTGTTTTGCTACTACAGGAAAAGAATATTAATAAAACACAGTTTGAGATTGGACTTTTCCCTTATGTTACTGTTAAAAGTGAATTATAAAATCCTTCAGAAAACATGATATTTTAGTAGCTTAGATGGGATTTAGCAATTTCTTGACAATATAAATGCTTATGGGCCAATCTTCAAAGGGATTGAAAAATGTTTAAACTGTGTGTAGGCCATTGAGGGATCTAGGTAAATTATTCCATATATTTCTTATTCCAGGACCATTATGATTTTGGTATGAGAGCCATCAAGTCAGTGCTGGTGATGTCTGGACAGAGGAAGAGACAGGCACAACTCAGGTAGTGGGGCAAGTTGGTTATTGATTATTTTTAACAAAAGTATTAAAATATATTTGTTAAAAATATTGATCAAAACTAGACATAGATGTGTATTTCTTAATAAATTATCATTTTCTCTAAATCTAAGACAGAAATTATCATGAAATTAATTATTATCTATTATATGTAATAAAAGATTGTTTGATTGTGTTCCAGCTCTGATGGTAGAGTGAAGAGTATGACGGAGAAAGAAGAGTCCTACATCTTGATCCACTCCTTGAGAGACGCCAACCTGCCTAAGTTCCTGGCAGAAGATGTGCCATTGTTTGAGAGCATCCTGGCAGACTTGTTCCCAGGAATTATACCTCCTGAGCAGGACCAGGGGATCTTAGAGGTAAAAATATTCTCTTTCTGTATTTGTTTTTTATTCAGGACAGTACACTGTCTTCCATAATCATTGTTTTAGTATGTGCCCCTATTCCCAGGTGTGGTAACTCCAATATTAGGAGACAAAATAATGTGAATTTTTTTTTTGTTATTTCTGATTCAGAATCAGCTCTGTAAATACGACTAAATGATGCTATTTTCAACATTCAGTTGCTCAATAGAAAGTTTTACAGAAAAAATAGAGAGACAATCTGCTAACTTCACCACTACAAGTCAAGAGAGACAGACTGTGTTACAAGTATCAGTCTTTCCATTTACTATCTATTATATATCTCCTGATCTGTGTATGTTCCAGAAAGCCATCTCCATGTCCATTGGGGATCAAGGTCTACAACACTGGTTCTTAACATCTACTATCTATTATAGATCTCCTGTTCCATATTACATATCCCATGTTATATATCTTTTGTATATCTCCTGTTTGGTGTACCTTCTAGAAAGCCATCTCCATGTCTATCAGAGACCAGGGTCTCCAACACTGGTTTAGTCAGATAGAGAAAGTGAAGCAGCTCTACAGCCAGATCTTGGTGCGCCACGGGGTCATGTTAGTGGGCCCCACGGGGGGTGGGAAGTCTACCGCCAGGAGTATCTTACACAGGGCTCTGGTCCTGCTACCCTCTATCTCTACTGATGTGGCTGCAGAGGATGGGTTGATGGACTCACCTCTCAGGAAACCTGGGATGTTTGTGGTATGTAGAATAAGGTTGACAATTTTGAGGTTTAGAAATTTTCTGAGTAATTTGAGATTTCCTAACAAGGTAAATTACAAGAACAGTGTAAAGGTTGACTGATATTAGCTGGTTATAGCTACTTTTATCAATGCAATTAAACTTAGATGATATTTTTAAATTGTACACTATTTTCAAATTAAAATTAGATTAAATTAAATTAAAATTGACTATACATTCTAAGCATTAAGTCATTGGATTGATGCTTTAAGTCAAGAGAACTTAACTAATGTATTCTTATCAAACAGCACAATCGGTCTAAGAAAGGCCGTGTGGAAATCTTCACCATCAACCCAAAGTGTGTGAAGCTGGGAGAGCTGTACGGTGAGACTGACCCCAACACATTCGAGTGGACTGATGGCCTGATAGCTCACGCTGTGAGGAGGTTTGCCCGAGAGGTCGCCAGTACTCCCACGGAGGACCGTCCGTCCACGGCGGCCACCGCTTTGACCAGTGCCACTGGACTTACTGGGGCCACAGATGTGGTGAGTTGGAGTGTGAATGAAATGTTTTTAAATAGTGGTTTTATTGTTAGCACTATCATTTAACTGTGAGCACATTGTGTGTGTTGTTTATTTATTCACCTGAAAAATACATTGTATACATATGTATATATATATTTAACTGAGAGCCACTGTGTGTGTGCGTGTGTGTGTGTGTGTGTTTGTGTATTGCGAACAATGTCCTGGACTACACGATGCCAGGGGGTCACCTGTACTGTATGATGCTGATGTTATTTTAAACTACATCACCTCTGGTGGCAAACCCCATACTACACCACTGGAATAGTTATAATTGTTTTATAATAGCAGCAAGAAAGATATGCATATATGACATCACACTCTGAGGTGTTAAAAATCTTGATATTTTAGTCATTATTATTATGAAAATCTTTCCATTTGTATAAATTTCCATCATTTATGTTTGTTTAGCTACAAGGAGATCAATATTTCATGATCCATGAGATTGTAATGGTTTTTTGAATTATATCACACCCCACGGTCTCTTCATCCCATAGGGGCTATATAGTGTTGACCTGGAGACCTCCCCTGGGCCCATTGTATGAGCACAGGCAACTTATAGTTTTTTTATCCTAAATCATTGTTTGCAATCATAACTTACACAAACCATTAAAAAAAACATAAAAAATAAAACAACAATATTTACTAGAGACACATTTGTGCAGTTCTGGGGTAAGTTAGAAATGAATCGAATATATGCAGTGACAGTCTGTATGCTGTTAAATCATATCAGGTCTCTTGGTCTCTGATCATATCAGCAATATCTTTCCTGCCACATTCTAAGAGTGCGTTCCTCAGTACTTGTACAGTGGCGCCATCGCCCTGACTCTGCCTCCATTCCATCAGCGCTTCATACGCCATGTCATATAGTCCCTGGGCCTTGTGTTCAATGTGCTTCACAGAGACGCTCCTCGCTTGTTGTCCTGGCTGTAAATAGAGGTCTCTGAACAACATTTTCCAGTCTGTCCCTATCCGCTTAGCCACAACTTGGATGGTTTTTGCCAGCGTATTATCCTCTCCTGTGTCAATGTGAGAAGAGGCAAAGGAAGAAGCTCCAAAGGAATGTGAGGAAATGGTTGTTATAGAGCTTAGAGAATTTTCAAATTCCCCTGAAGATGTAAGGTGGTCTTTGGTATTGTTGACTTTGTGTTCATTCATATGCTTGCAGAGTACATCAACTATGGCAAAAAATCCTTTCTTTTTAGCCAACGTTAATGCAGTGTTCCCACTTTTGTCCTCCAAACTTGGATTCACACCATTGTCAAGTAAAATTTTGACAGCCTCTAAGGTGTAGTGTTCATCAGACGCCTGCATGCACCACAGAAGAGCTGTTTTGTGGTGAAAGTCTGTGTGGTTCACAGCTATGCCTGGATTTCTCAGTAATGTCTGCATGATAGAGAGGTTTCCAACTCTGCTGGCTATCATGAGAGGTGTGGCGCCACTTGCATTTTGGCGATTGACGTTATCTCCATACCTCAGGAGAAGCTCCACTATATCTTTGTGTCCGCACTGTGTCGCGGCGATGAGAGGAGGATCACTGTTTGAGTTTGTTTTCTCAAATATGTATTTGGGATTAAAGTTTTGAAGCAATTTGCAGACATCTTGGATCCTGCCTTCTTGAATTGCATCATGGAGACTGTCTGGCAACTTGTCCTTCTTGGAAGTGACTTTTGAAATTAAGCTCTGAAGAAATCCTTCTTTTGATTCTTTGCTAGTGGGTAGAGAGGCTAAACTGTCGTTAGATTTTGCTTTTGATGTCACAGATGCTGCTCTAGATCTGCAAGCATAGATCATTGGTTCCATACCCTGAAATGATGGGTAATGATTTTAATTGATTTTTTTTGTTCTTTATCAATTTTGATTTTTCTTTTTTTCTTCCTTTTCATCTGATCATGTGGTAAAGGCATTGTCTTATGGAAAAATGGAACAACTTGTTCTCAGAAAGTTTGTAAAAGTTACACACATTACAGAGTAAATTATGTTACAGAAGAATACAAACTGAGTGGGTTAGTGGTTTGATATGGACTTTTTATAAATACTATGAAGGCCCCAGAATTGATACATTGGAGAGAGAAAATGGGGAGAGGGGTAAAAGTCAACATACGGGAACAACATAAATATGATTAGTTAGTTCAGTGTGGCAATATTCTTGCCATGTTATATTAATCTTTACTTCTCAGTGAAAAAAGCATTATTGTTTGTGTAATGAACAAACTCCAGCAATAGCAGTGACAGTAATTGATTTTTATAACCTTAACCACTACAAAAATTTATGCTAAAATGTAATATTTGTAGGTGTGATCTCCTAATTAAACTATTCTTAAGACCATGGTGTTTTTCTTTCTTGTATTATTACATATAAGCAAACAAATACAAACACACAGAAGTAGATATTGTGACATACCTTTCCCTGTCATCAATTCATATTAAATTCAGTCTCTTCTCTGTACATAAAATTTCATATCTCTTATTTCACGTGACTTACCCCATGTGATGTAGTTAATGACTAAGTATCACAAGACATCCAAGGGGATTTCACTGGGAGTGGGAATGAACCTGTACTTAAACACAAAGTGTACATGTATAAAACATGAAATTGAATATTTAGACACATCATCTGTTTTCTTTTTAAAATGCAACCTTTACATTTAACCTCAAACCAAATTTATATAATTTGTTTTGTAAGTAAGTAAATACCCAGGTCAGTCATTTAAATTGTTGTATGTGGTAACCCAGGCAGGTGAGGGGATTCCCCCTTCTCTTTGTTAGTTGAATTCAGCACAAACCATGTGATTTGTATGATTAAAGAAAATGTCATAGTCATAGTCATGAGGATCATATTACTTTTATGTCAGGTACAGATAAGGAGACTGGAATTTTCCATGCTTATTCTTTGGTTAATAATTGACTTATTCCTTTCTGAAAACATGACCTTACATCCAAGCCTTGCTACCAGTCTGTTTTGTCCCCTCACCTCCCTCTCTCTCTTCCCCCCCCCCCCGGCACTGCTCTTTATTATTATTATTATTATTATTATTATTATTATTATTATTATTATTATTATTAAAATGTCGAAGGTGCTTTGTTTAGCTTATATATAAATGAAAATAAATAATAGTTATCTGTGTTACTTAATGCAATTCAGAAAAATTAGTTGGAAAAAATATGAAAAAGAGTAACCCTGCACAACAGTTCATTGTTTTTTTAACATGCAAATGACACTTTTTTAATTGTTTTGTTTAAAGATTATCTCTTTAAAGATAATTGTGGTTCACTTATACTTTAAAAGAAAGGAATCAAGAACAACAAAAAATATTTTTTTCTTATTATTGTGATATATCTTTGACAGGAATTTACAATCCAGAAATTAGGTATCTTAGCAAAAATTACAATCAGTATTTTGTTATTAAAAATCAGTAATTTGCTGTATGTTATAGACTAAACAAATAACATAACTGACAAGAAGCAAATATGAAGGAAATGACATAATTTAAAAATTGAATGTATTAAGATATGTACAATTGAAAATTTGGATTTTATAATCAAGTTTGCAGTCAGTAGTCAACATAGAGGCTCTAACTATACACAAAAGTAGCTTTGCAAGCTGTATTGTAGATGAAAGCACCCATAAGGCTGTGGTTGATTAGTTATTGGATATCTATACACTTTATGCTATTGCTATCTGTAGTCTGAATACAGCCAAGCTTTAAATTCTGAGGTCAAAACATGCATTTACACACACACACACACACATGTATATTATTATTATTATTATTATTATTACTATTTATTATTATGAAAGGGTGTTAACCTCCAACTACTCCATGTCATTATTACACTTAAGGACCAGACAGATTGATGCCATACAGAATACTGTACCACACAAAGAGAACCTCATGTCTATTCATAACCTGTCTTAAATTAGGTAATCAAAAACTTTAATTTTCCCAGTCACTTCCTCTGACACAATAAGATGTCCATCCTGGTCTAAAGCAATACCCTGGGGTCTTACCAGACCATCCCCCTCAGTGACCAAATGACATATAAACTCAGCCTTTGGGGACAGCATGTGGATACGGTCATTGCCACTGTCAGTGACCAGTATATGACCAAACTGGTCAACACACACACCATATGGGTGATCTAAACAGTCATCCCCCTCTGAAGCTGACCCTTTCCTACCATACCTGTGTAATACTTCCCCTTCCATGGTCAGTACATAGACACAGTTCTTTCCAATATCTGTCACCACCAGATTACCCTGCTTGGTCAAGGCTATCCCAGAAGGATGCCTAAAAAGCTCTCTGCCATCTTTGTCTTTCCTTATCTGTCTCACTACACTACCATCATGTGTGTTAAATATCACCACACAAGCTGAACTACCATCACCTGCTGCACACACAAGATGGTCGTTTGAAAAGACAGCACCTGTACAGCTAAAACCTGAGATGACTCTAGTTATCTTAAACTTCTGCTGGGAATCTAAGAACAATATTTTCCAATAGCCCCAGCTACATATTGCTATATTTCCATCACTGGTACAACACACACCTGTAGGACTACTTAACTGATGTTCACCATCACCTGACCACACTGACACCAATCTACCACTTCTGTCAAATAGTTTCAGGTTATTGTTGTTCCTATCTGGTACAACTATATTCATGGCATTGTCAACTGCCAGAGCCACTATGTCTGGAGTGTACTTATCTACTGCAGCTTTGGCACTAAACTCTGCTACTAGTTTCAGTCCATCTAAACTCAATGTTCCCCCAGACATTTTTCCAATTGTGTTCTTGACCTTTGAATCACTGTGAGGGACATATTCAACTTTATCTTTCTTGGAAATGGTATCCTTTGTCTCTGCTTCATGTTTAGCCATAGTAGAAGAGAGAGACTTCTGGTGCATCATCATTTCCTTGGGTGTTGCATTTTCCATCAAGTGAACAGCCAGTTCTGCTATCATTTCCATTCCATTTCTTGAGTTGATCACATCACGGCGTTTCTTTTTAAGAAAGTGCTGTTCTACTGTAACTTTGGCACGAAGTTGATGCTTCATTTTTTCCTTCTCTCGTTTAATGAAATCAATAAGTTGCTGGGAATGAATCTCAATTTGTCTTTCTGCCTCATCCTCTTCTTCTGTAAGTTCTTTCTCCTGGCGGTCAAGCTCAGTAATGGTATCATTTTTCTCTTTGATTTTTACTCTCAGTTTCTGAACTTGATTACCGAGATGTCTCTTCTTACTGTCTAAGTCATCAAACGATGTCCTAACACTGACACAGGGGTGGTCTTTGTGACAGTCCTCTGTCACCACACACACATGACATATTGCTGTGTCACACTTCTTACAGTACATGGTCACCTTCTCTTCATAATGCTGACTACATGGGACATCTGTGGTGGAGGGTACGGGCTCACACTGTAGGAACAAAGGTACTGGAAATTCAGCCACGCCCTCCCAAGGCACAGGGACATCTTTACTGCACACAAAGCACTGGAAGGTTTCTCTAGACTTCTTCCCCTTTATGGCATCGGCAAGACAGTTTTCACACAAAATATGCCAACAGCTCAGAAGAAGTCTTGGTGCAGTCATACGTTTTTTACATTTTGGGCAATTGCGAAGGTCTGCTGTGCCATCCTCTCTTGATTGAGGTACGCACGCAGCCATTATCCCTGCTGTATCTGCTGATCTCCTGACTTTGATAGTTTTATTATAGCAGCTTTATCTGTCATACTGTACATGGAACTGTGGACCCACCAAAAGTTCAAGGTCATACACGGTTCTCACAATATTTTGTTATTACACTTATTGATACAAGTTAGGTTTTGCAAAGAATGAAATCACTTTTCAAATCTCAGTTCATACAAGAAATAACATTTAAAAGAAATGTCATTTTGCTTTGATTTTGTTTTCTAAATCACAATTTTAGACTTGATATTATGTGGAAGCAATATATTTTGAGACCCTATACCTGTCACCTGAGTAAAACTTCTATCAGGACAAACATCACCCAGACTGATGTGGTTGGTCATTAAATGGGGTAATCTTATCTATAAGGGCCAGAAAATAGTTATAAGACTAATGACAGTATAGCTTTTAAATAGGTGCAAACCTTGGCAGTTAAAGAACTGTTATTGCTAAAATAAAATAAAATAACTCCTTACAAGAGCTTAGGAAGATGGCTATCATGAAGTGGACATTTAAACCGTTGTTGTACATATCACTTTTTTAAAGATAAGTGATTAAGAAGTCAATTTTTTTGTCTTCATATCCTTTAAAGATCACATTGTCCCAGTCACTTTATGCTGTATCCAAGTGAAAATGCTAAGTATTAAGCATAATGTGTCAGTTAAATGATTTAATACAGATAATATGAATTGAGCTGTGACAAATAATAATTGCACAGAAGTTATTTCACATCCTCTCACTTGGTGAGTTTTAACTCAATAAACTTGAAGACAGATATTGTCTATGTAAAATTGTCTGGTGACAAAGTAAAATTTCCTGATTTTTTTTGGTAAAGTTTACAGTGTGTAGATGGGTTACTTGCACAAAGTTCTTATCAGCCACTTATCAACCACGCAACCATAACCCCTGCTGTATCTGCCAATCACCTGACTTTGATGGTTTTATTATAGCACCTTTATCTGTCATGCTGTATATGGTCCTGTGGACCCACCAAGGTTCAAAGTCATACACGGTTCTACACATTGTATGCACAAACTCGTTGTATGTACTTTGATTGTCTTTAATAATTGATTACCTAAATTATCTAGATATTTATTATACTTCCCTGGAATTTATGGATATTTTCTTTTTTTTACAAAATTTAAGGCTACATTTTTCTCATAAGTACTATATATTTAACAATTGTGTCAATGCATACAATTACATGCAAAGCTAAAATATATAATATAAAAAATGTTTTGATCATATGTATGTAAACATCTGGTACACAAAGCAACCAATTTTACTTGAACCATGTTTTATGTAGAACTATTTTCTGTTGGTATCTTGTGAGGTGTTGAGATGAATAAAGTTTTGTTGGGGGGGGGGGGAGGGATTTGTTACTGTTATACATGTATATCATGGCTGTGGCTAGTGGAGGCAAACATGGCATCTCCAATTTTGTAAGGTTTATTTAGTGATAATGCTCATCCAAGAGTAGATGTTAATATTTACATCATAGTGGTATCAGGTGTCATCCTCTCTTCACTCAGATAAAGTGTGATCACATAGACAACCATAGATAAAACCTGTCCAAGTCATGTCTATACTGATATTATTATTCATTGTTTTAGTGAACAAACAATCACCAGCTAAACAATAGGTCACCTTGATGAATGCATGTGTATTTGCATGTATGTGCATAAATGCACGTGTGTGTGTATATGTGTATTTATGTATATGCAAGCTTATGTGTGTATGCAAGTGGGTGTGTGTGTGCATGGCCGTATGCACATGTGGATATATATGTCAGACTGGCAAAATGAGTACTGATAGGTAGGAAGGTGGGTGCCACAAAACCAATGTCAGTGACATCTTGCCCACCTCCTCTTCCTCCTCCCTTCTCTGTTTCAAGCCAGTGACATCTTGACCCTTCCTGTACCCCCTTCCCTCTCCACTTGAGTCCAAGGAATCATTTATTATTATTAAAAAAATGATATCCTATATTATTTAAAGAAAGGTCATTAAGTATCTTTCTATCTTCCAGACTGCCAGTACCAACCCCTCCAGTCCCGGTCCTATCAGTGAAGTAGGGGAGACAGATGGCCAGACGGTGGCAGGGGATGCAGCTGACCACCCCCCTGACCATGAGACCATGCATGAGGGGGAGATGATACCTGTGGACTGGAAGTGGCTGGTAAGATATAGCTTGCTCTTTCTCTCCCCCTCTTCCCCTCCCTTTTTCTCTCTCTCTCACTTGCTCTTTCTCTCCCTCTCTCTCTCCCTCTCTCTCTCTTCCACTCTCTCTCTCTCTCTCTCTCTCTCTCTCTCAAGGATATCAAATATGTTATTGGATAGAAGTTCAGTAGACGGAATCATGGATGTGGTGCAATATCATGCTGCACACCAATATTTTCTGAAAAGTAAATTTTTTAAATCTGAAAAAAAAAATTATTAAAAAAAAGTAAGTGATATTCCCTTCTCTTTTTTTACAGCTGTAAATATCTTTTCAATTAATAATAATAATAATCTGTTATATTTCCATGCCCACCGTAGGTTCTAGACGGTCCAGTGGATACCATCTGGGTAGAAAATCTGAACACAGTGCTAGATGACAGTAAGATTCTCTGTCTGGCCAATGGGGAGAGGATTAGCCTTGGCTTTGGCATGAGACTCATGTTTGAGGTGGATAACTTGTCACAGGCCAGTCCAGCCACCATCAGTAGATGTGCTATGGTCTATATGGTAAGTACTGAGACAATATTTAGGCATTTTATAGTTGTAATTGTATAGTCAGTTTTGACCTCCATGCTTCGGCGCTCTATGTGAAAGTACTGAGACAAGGTATTTACTATATAAATTAGTAATATTGTTTTGGTCCTGCCATCATCAGTGAGTATGAAAAGTAAGTACTGACAGAGACAATATTTAGGCATTATACAGTTATAATTGTAGAGTCAGTTATTACCCCCTTGCCACCATCAATATTTGTGCCATGGTCTATATGGTAAGTAGTGAGACAAAGTAATATATATTTGTTATATATTTAGTAAAGTTGTTTTGCATGATCCTGCCATCATCAGTGTATGTGTAATAATTCATATGGTACGCATTTATTCTAATTAATTTTATGTTTACTTTGTACAGTAAACAATTGATGTTTTTCTCTGTCACTGTCAGCGGCCTCCCCTGTTAAAAAAAACAAACAAATAAATAAAGGAAGCAAGCAAGAAAGAAAGAAAATGAATAGAAAAAATAAAAAAAGATAAAATCCTATGTCTGTATTTTGTTGTATTCTAGGACCCAGTTGACCTTGGATGGAAGCCGTACGTGAAGACGTGGCTGCAGAGGCTACCTAAGGAGATCCCTGAGAGCGGCAAACACCATCTCCAGGCTCTGTTTGACCACACGGTGGAGAAGGGACTGGAGTTCATGCTCCAGCATCAGAAGTTCCAGTCCGTCCCTGTCCCCGCTATGTCCATGGTGAACTGTCTGTGTAGTATTCTCATGTCCTTCTTTGATTTTATGAGCAAAAATGGAGGTTTTGGAGATCCAGGTGTGTTAAGCCATGACTTAAACAAAGGAAAATGTTATTTATGATAAGAAATGATTTCAGTATAATGCAAAATGTCTTATTAATCTTATTTCATTTTGTTGTATGTTTATTCATTAATTATGTGTATCTAATGGATATGTTATGTTGATTGAAAAATTTATAAGATATAAATAGATTTGTAGTCTGCAAAGAATCAGATTTATTTATGACATTTTAACACCCTTCAATATTTTTAAAAGACCTTGGTTTAAAATACTTAACAATTTTTTTCTCTGTGTAGATAAAGAAGTAGGGCGTCCCTCCAGTGCAGACAGCCATACTTCCAGCCAATCACGAAGTTCTTCTAGAACCGATGTCAGCGGAACCAAGAAGATGAAAAAGAGAAGCAGACGACAAGCTAAGATTAAAGAGGAATTGCAGAAAATTGAAGACAGAGCATCTGCCAAAAAGGACCAACCTCACAAGTAAATAAATTTAATTGATTGAAGTGCATTGTTTTACAAATAGAAATATGTTCAAACCATTATTTGGGACTTTTGACTCTTTATCTGATTTAATTTACACACAATTTTGTCTTTGCATCCATTCTTAATTTAATTTCCATTTCTTAATAAACAGCCAGTTTAATTTCATCATTTAGGGATCAAAAACAATATTACATGCAGAAAAATCCAGGCAAATTCACAATCTTCCTTGGCAAACTGTTTGCCTTTGCCTTCACCTGGGCATTTGGTGGCAGCCTGCAGAGGTTTGATGAGATGGATGATGACATCGCTGTGACTAAGAAGGAAGGAGACAAGGACAAGCCTGATATCAACATTTGTTATGAATTTGATGGGTTTGTCAGGGATCTTTTGGAGGTCGAGCCACCTCTAGGTAAGTGTTGATATTTTAATGTTAATGTTAAAACATGGTGCCATTTGAAACTTCTGAATGTATGATGTTATAAATGATGAAAGTGAACAAACTTTTTTAACGAGAAAGAATTTTGAATATTTCACTTGTGTTGTTGTTTTTTCTCAGTTTAGATAGTACTGTAGTATAAAGGTTCATTTTTGAATAATAATTCGAAAAGTGCAGAATCTGAAGAGTATTTGACAAAAATACAATAAATTGACTAATTTATGAAAATAATCTGATTCTAACACACTTAAGTATTAATTCAGATATTTTGTACTTGGCAATATGTACCTCAACTGTATATCTTTCCCAGGTGTACGCCTCCCATCTGGCCACAAGACCATGTTCAGTTACTTTCTGGACATGGAGTCTGGAAACTTCGTACCCTGGGATGTGCTCGTACCAAAGACAAACTCGCTGATTGAGAAGGGCGCTGTGATTACAATAGGGGACACCATGGGTTTGTCCACGGGGCACGCCAAACCAGGAGAGGGCCGTCTGGAGAACGAGATTGTCACCACAGTGGACACTGTGAGGTATTCCTTCCTGACAGGACTGTTGTTGTTGAATGGCCACCCAGTACTGCTCACAGGTAAGAAATTATTTAGGCACATGAACAATATTAAATAAATTAATAAAGGGAAAACCATTTTACTAATTATTCTCAAGCCAGGCAGACTTTGAATACAACAAATGTTTTAAAAATATAACTTGCTGTTTGAAGTTAAGTACCATCATGACAAATAATGTTTTTCATCATAATTATTACAGGTGAATCTGGTGTAGGCAAGTCTGCCATCATAAAACACATGTTGAAGGAAATGTCCAAGGACAATGGGACAACTACCAAAAATGGAACTATTTTGGGAAATGTGCTAAATTTCTCTGACAAAAACCAGTCACTGTTAGAAAACATCAGCAGCTTGACAAAGTTTGCCATGGAAGAAGGTAAGGCACTTTGAAAGTTTCTGTAGACTCTATTTCATACAGGGGACTTTTGTGCATTGTTTTTTCATATCAGAAATATCTAGGTTTTTACAGAGGATATATTGATGCAATTTCATACATGTGTACTGATTAGTAATGGGTTCTGACATGTTCTTTCATAACACTTTAATTCCATTTTCTTTAACTAACTTATAGATGTTTGTGTTTATTTTGAACTAAATTAAATCTTAATGTAATTTTTTTTATTTTATAATTTCTATTTGAACTCAATTATATGTAAAACTTCAATATTTTAGTTAAAATCATTTAAATAAACTTATTATAATTTTATAAAATTATTTCAGACATAGACACAGAGAAGAATCTAGATCTCCTGATGGGAACCAACAAACCCAAGCAGAACACTGGAATCTCCACCAGTCTGCTACAGTTCAGCGCGCAGACGACCTCTGCTCGGACCCAGCTCTCCATTATACACAGGCTGATCAAGAAGGGCAAAGATACACTGGGAGGACCCAAGGGGAAAAAGGTTTGGGAGAGTTTCTCATGGTCTGATAGATTGGAAAATGGATGGTGTGATTATTTTTTTTATATGAAAAAAAGAGTATAATTTACTGAAGTATATGGAAAAAAGAGTATAATTCACTAAATTCAATTAATTCACATGTAGGTAGTCACTGTAACTACACTTATGACAATGTAGCGCTGACACTATAAACTATGTAACATGCTCTTTTATGGAGGCACAACTAGTATTTGGTAATGGCAAACATATGCTAATCAAAATTGTTATTGAAGTGGTAAATTTGAATCAGATGTTGAGCAAGCACCATGGTGTAGTGATTTGAAAATCAAGAAGTTGGTAGGCATTGGAACTGCAATTCAGGATAGATAGATATTCTTTTGTAATGCTGTTAATTTTCATCCTACATTCCAGGTATTGGTGTTTGTTGATGACTTCAACATGCCAGCCCCTGAGGAATATGGAGCTCAGCCCCCACTGGAACTTCTCAGGCAGTTTCTGGATCTGGGCGGCTTCTTTGACACTAGGAGAATGTTGTGGAAGGTATGACTTTATCCATGTATAATGATTTGAATCTCATAAAAAGGTTCCTATTGAGAGGTAAAAAAAAGTTTAATTAGATTAATTTAATTAGAATTACTAAACATGTCACTGATGTCAGATATAATTCATAAAGATATTAAAGAAAATGCCAGGTGCCTGTTTATTTCAGGTGCCTGTTTTGTTTGCATTATATTAACAATTACATGTAAAAAATGGTTTGATTTCAGACAACTGTAATTATACCCACACAAAAATCAGCAATTTTTTATTAATATTTTTCATTAACTACCTTTTGACTTATTTGTTATAACATCATGGTTAAAGATAAGTATCTGTGGCAATATAGCAGGTGTCTTGATTGGGGTGTGTGTGATAAAATATTAAAATGAAGATATATTTCAGGACATCATGGATGTGACCCTAGTGGGGGCGTGTGGACCCGTGGGTGGAGGCAGAAACCCTGTCAGCCCTAGACTTCTCAAACACTTCTGGTAGGGAAATATCACAGCTTCAGTTTTCAGTTTTTGTTTTGCAAAGCCGTACATCTGATTTACATAAAAATCAAGTGAAAAAGATTTTTCAGTGTCTCTTGTGTTAATATTGTAGAAAAAAGTCTAAAGAGACTTAACATCATGCTTTACAAACAAAAACATGTTAAGTCTGGTTAGAGTAGTTTTTTCTTTTACCATACATGTTTTTGTCTTGACAAACCCGAGGTGCATGATTGAAATGCCCTCAGAAAGATTTAATTAATTGGTTGATTAATTTATTCATTTATCATTACAGTATGCTAGCAGTGCCCCAGCCCTCCACCCGGTCTCTTCAGCATATCTACCAGGTCCAGCTGGGCAGGTACTTCCAAGATGGCGACTTCATGCCGGAGGTGAAAGAGTCCCTGTTCTCTCTGGTGTCAGCTAGTATAGCGATGTACTACAAGATGTGTATGAATATGCTGCCCACTCCGGCCAAGTCACATTATACTTTTAATATCAGGGATCTCACAGATGTAAGTATTGGGGATTAGAGGGTTTGATTGTGTACAGGAGAATAACTGAAACTTTGATCAGTAATGTGCATGAGTTGCTTTGTCAGTTTATGTATTTCCAAATACTCGAGGCGTATCTTAATTTTGCTCTGTAGAAGCCTTAGAGCATAAGATAAGCCTAAAATAGTTATATTAGTGTGATATTTCCCTGTCCTCTAGGTAATCACGGGTCTGTTACAAGCTCACCAGCAGGTCATAGTAATATAA